CTTCTCACACCACCCCACCAGTGAGTAGGCTCAAGAAGTTGGGAGGGGACACAGCTGAGACAGCTGACCCCAACTGACCAAAGAGATGTTCCAGATCATATAATGTCATGCTCAGCAATTAAACTGGATGGAGGTGGAGGCTGGCAGAGGCTGCTGTTGCTCTGGGACAGGCTGGGCATCAGTCAGTTGGTGATGAGCAGCTGGTTTCTTTTGCATTGCTTGTTTTTCTTGGTTTTGTTCCCCCTCACCTTCGCTGTTCTCGTCTCCTCTCCTTTTTAAAAAATTATTAAACGTCTTTATCTCAACCCACAAGTTTTCTCACTCTTAGCCTGCCAATGCTCTCCTCCATTGCACTGTGGTGGAGTGAGTAAGTGGTTGGGTGGTGCTCTGCTGCTCGCTGAGGTTAAACTACAACACTGTGACTCCTACAGCAATGGCCAAAATAGTCTGAATCTCAGTCACATTGTTCTTTACATCATTTTTTGTTTGGCCTTTCATAAATCCATCCTATATGTTTGCTTTCAAGTGAAAACTCAGGCCCACATTTTGTGCTCTGATTTTCTAATTTTCAGTAATTGCAAATAATCAACTTCAGATTAGCTGACAATAATTTATAGGTTGGCAGCATGCAGTAGAGAAGAAAATACTGTTTATTTTGTACATTAATGGATATGGAATTAAATAAGGTTCATATATTTGTTGAGTCACGCCTTGCTTTCACAATCTATTCAAATTATTGTTCAGTAAACCCAAGCTTTACATGCTTTTGTGCTAAATTCCAAAATCTTAGGTAAATTATTCTGTTAGTTATGTCTCTGCAATCCCACTGAGATTAATAGCCTGTCTCGTTTAAAGAGGTCATAACAGCTAGCAGGGTTCTCTACTGCAAATGCTCAGCTCTAGACTGCCAGGTGCTGCTAAGCAGTTGTTGCAATTTATCCTAGAGCTATTTATATTTATCTAGTAACTAATTATTCATAACTTGACAGATAAATACATCATGCACAATCAATAAATAATAAAGCCAAACCAATCTTCAGGATATATTTTGTTACGTGAAGGTAGAAGACCATACTCACATGAAAGATTCAGGTTGAATTTTATGTATTAATTCAGGTTTTGGAGCTGATAGTTGTTTGGGTGTTCTGTTGAGGCAGTGTGCTAAGTTACTCTAGAGAGAAAGTGCTTGGGCAACTAAAATGAAGGCTCCTTCAGTTATCAGGTAATGAACAATAATGGGCAGATGGGCCAGCACTTAGGACTTGCTGGCTAAGAGGATATAAGGCTCTTGCCTTCAAAAGATGCAGAAAAATAGATATATGGAAAACAGGGAAAGTATCTATCAAGGAATGCTTCATTCAGGGTAAGGAGGACACTGTCATCATAAGAGCTGTTGCAGTACTCTGGGATGGAGCAGACTCCTGTTCCCAGAGGATACCTGTGCCTCCTCCTTTCCTTTCCCTGTGTTGGCAGGCATCCCAGTGGATCTGACACTGTGAGGGTCTAGCTGTATCTTAACCTTTGGTACCTATCAAATATGGAATAAGAAATTGTATCCAAGCTTACCTATACCTTTCTTTTTCCTTTCCTTTCCTTTCCTCTCCTTTCCTTTCCTTTCCTTGGTACATGTACCAGTCATAACATATCTGTCATTACTTTGCCACCTGAAGGCACTGATGGACAACAAAAATAGCTTGGCCTCTTGAAGTTCTCTCTAGCTGAGAAAAGCTCCCCAAACAGGATTCTTCAAAACTGTCTCAGTTGTGATAAATCTTAAGGAAAAGACACAGGAAGACTACAGGGCATAATTAGTTTTGCCCTGAATTCCAATATCTATTTTGGATTAATTTTTTGTTTATTGTTAGTGTATGTCAGATCTTTGGCTCTTATTATCTCATAGAAGAAAATGTTCTGATAAGCATAGATTCTTTTTCTTCATCTTTTATTTTATTTTATGTTTTATTTTTCTCTCTCTCTCTCTCTCTCTCTCTCTTTTTTTTTTTTTTTTGGTGTATATTGAGGTCTCTTTTACAACAATGCATTTCCATGGTTGGAAGCAGAAGCTTCCTTCAAAATGCATTCAAAATGAGATGGTGTATAAGTAAATTTCTCTCTTCCATCTTCTCCTGAGCAATAATGTGCAGTATCTCTTTGCCAAAAAGAAACAAATGGAATTGTCTAATCTTGAATGACTGTGCAGAACTCAGTAAGTACATATGCTGATGTCTCCATGGTTCTTGAACAAACCTAATATAATATAAGTGACAAATTTTTTCTGCTGAAAATTGCCAGTGCTTCTGGGACTAGATTTCAGCTGTTCACTGGAGAACTTACAACCCAAATGTTTTACCATTTCTGAAGACTACTTTGATTAAGCTTCTGTATGAGATATTGATAAAGTGAGTTCCACAATTCAGATATCCAACTCTCTCAATCAGATGGAAGCTGTTGTGGCCAGCGGGAGGTACCATCTCCTGCAGGGGTTCATGCTGTGCTCCATGAAACACCACCTACTTCTAAGCTTATGTTCTTCAGCCTTAGATAATAGAAATAAGGTTGGTGCCTAGGGAAACATTTATTTTAGAAAACTGTGTAAAGCTTCTTTTGTATTGAATGAAGAAGGATTTTCAAACTTCAGTAATGTGACCTTTTTGCTTGAATATTCTTATACAACACAGTAGAACACTCCTGTGAAATGCAAGGCTATACTTCATAGATAAATATTACTAAATATGAACTAACCAGTACCCAAGAAGTGCTTTTTTGTTGATTTTTTTCAGTTCGTTGGAGCAATATTCAGTTCAGCATCTCAGTCATTTTAGATTGAGAGAGATTAGCTTTGCAGTAGGAGATATCGACAAACACTCATCCAGTGCTAAGTTACTCAGACCTCAAAGCCATTTTCTCCAAAGCAAGAAGGGCATAAACACGGTCAGAGGAAATCTCTCATCCTTACTGCTGGTATTGTTCTGGGGAGCGGAGGAAAAGACCCTTGGCAGGATTTCCATTCATCACTTCATATTCTTGTTTGAAACATACAATGAGCTCACTGTTTTGCTAGGAGAAAAAGCCAGTTATTAACTCAAGCAGTTTCTATTCAGGAAGAGATTATCGGGAATATCAGCCGGTCTCCCAATCAAATTTTTGCAAGGTATTTTCTAGTGTCCATCTCCTTTTCACTGGCAAGTGTAAACTAGGCATAGGAAATTATGTTTCATGACATGGAGTAGGAGGGAGTTTCTATTTGAAGTAAGGCTGGTTGTGTCTGCAGTTATTATGAAAGCTCAGAACAGGCACATTGATTGCTGGGAACAAGCAGATCTGTTATCCATGACTGGCGCAATGCTCGGAGGCACGGCAGTGAAGCACTGTGTTCTGGCTGACACATACTGTTCTGTCTCTGTCTGCTGCCATTACGCAAACAGAAGTGGAAAAGTTCTCGACAAAAGCAACGTAGTGTAGAAGCGACCGGCCTTCTGCATGTTCCAGCTGTGGCAGTGGGGAATGCACAGCTGGAACTAGCATGTGGGACAAAACGGCATGCCAAAAGGTGGGTGGAATTAGTAGGATAGGTATGGTATGGTGGTATTTGGATCACTGAAGCAGCATACATTTGACATCAGGTTTCTAGAAAGGTATGACATTCCTGTGATACGCCTGATTTCTTTTATGGCCGTTTTCCTCATCTGACAGTGTTCTCTCAAGATGTGGCCATTAAAGGGTACAATATCTTAGCCTGGGCCTATGATTGACTTTCTTGGCCATGTATCTCTGTTTCTGCTGATTTTAAGATATCCTGGGAATGGTACCATTGTGCACATTTACTTCACTTCCTTTTTATGAATAAATCAGTCAAAAAGGTGGCCAGAAAGAAACATACAAACATTCTGTATCTTTACACCCGGTGCTGTTGTCTACCTGAGGCAGATGCAGCCTGTGGGTGCCCATGTTCCCTGGTCTCTGTGTGTAGACCCCAGCCACGGCCTGCCTGCATACCTCTACGGGCAGCAATCCTGCTCTACCTGGATCACTGGAGACTCAGGACCTCTGAAAACAGGTCATGGGACCACAAAAACCTTAAGCGGTGACACCTCAGTCTTGACAGTCTTGCAACCTGTGTTGTGTCCAGAGCCTTATGACTGCCACCAGCAGTGGAGCAGAAGGTAGTGCAGCTCGACTCCCTTACCAGGGCTTCAGGCACCAATGGAAGTTATCTGAACTGCTTAGCATCACAGGGTTGGGCAAAGTGGATTGGGACTAGGACACTGGCAGTGATGGGGAGATGAAGGTGATGGCTCAGGCTTGACTGCACCTCTCTTGGTAAATAGCTCTTCCTGGCTCCTGACCTTGCCCATATGGTTCAGGGAGGGAGAGTGTCTTGTAGAGCTAGTTGATATTTTAGTGAGAGACTCAGCAAATCAAGGAAGCTGGAAAAGCAGACTTTTTCTGTCGGCTTTTCCTGATTAAGCTCTTTTTCTCAAGCCTTTTAGGCAAACCAGAGCTGAGGAGACAAGTTCCCCAATAATCAGATTCCCCAGAGACTGAACCCGAGAGTTAAACATATGGATTAGTGAAGCAGGCAGTTAGGATAGACATTAGAAATCATTAGGGTTTTTTTTGTTGTTGTTTGGTTGTTTTTTCCTCAGAAAACTCTGGTGGAAAGAAAAAACACCTGCCTGAAAAACACAGAAAAATCTTCAGTGAGTGGGACTGAAGCTATTGCCTGACAATACTAGATCTAGTCTAACAAAAAGAATGAATTGCCACAATAATAAATCCGTAAATTTTGGCAGAAAAGATAAATGAACCATTTTTTTTTTTCCCCACACTAAAAATAACACAGTCTTTGCATCTGGGACATGGGCTAGGCATGTAGCATATATACAGTAATCCTCTTGCTAAGAAACCAAACACACTTTGAGGACACACAGCATGTAAAAGGTCATATTTTATCTATTGCTCAACAACAAAAAGGGGAAAAATTAAGACTTCACCTTTTGTGCCCTGCGCTTGTCTGCTCGTTGATTCTGGTGGTAGATACGGCTGAAGTTGGAGACAATTACAGGAACTGGCAGAGCGATGACTAAGACCCCACTAAGGGAACATATTGAACCAAAAATCTTGCCAGCTATAGTCTTCGGCACCATGTCACCATACCTGGGTTAAAGACAACAAAATGCTTAGTAAAAGGATTGAACTTCAAGATTAATTAAATCCACAATAGATTTTACTTCTCTTGCAAATAATGCTCACTGCATATAAATAATACTTTATACACATATGCATACATATGCATGTGCACATGTGTGCACAGCTTGCCCAGTGCTGTGCACACATAATGTTAATTTCAAGCTAATGTTGGGCATCCTGTCCACCAAACTGTGGACATCTGTGTTTTACCTGCTCTAGTCTTCCCAGGCTGCCTCTATTGCAATGGAGAGAGAGAGAATGACCCTGCTAAGGAAAAAAAATCAGTGTCAACATTAAGCCCTTAGTCTGTTTGCTTGTTGGAAGAACTCATTGCTTTCCATTGGCGAGATCCTAGGGAGACCACTTGGTAAGTTAGATGCCAGACTGAATAATCTGTTGTCTCACTAAGTTGATATAGTACTTTCATTTAGGAGGGTAGCACATATTTGGAACAGGTTGCCCAGGAGATCATGGACTTTCTATCCTTGGAGATTTTCAAGACTTAGCTGAACAAAAGCATGCCTGACTTAACCTACTGTTGATAGACTGCTTTTGAGTGGGAGGCTGGACTATCTCACCTTCAGAGGTCCCTTCTACAGTCTAGCCAAAAGCAAACATGAAAAACTCAAGCCACAAGCAAGCAAACAAATTCTTACTGCAAAGCCTGGCAGTGCTCAGAATTACTAGGGCTACCACCTTTCTTTATGATGCTGGATATTGTTTTGTCCAGCAAGTAAGAACATAGTGCTACTGAAGTATGTAGAGACACTCCGGTGACAGCTTATTAAGAGATATCAGCTCTTTGCACTCTGCAGAGTGCTGTATTCTATAGGACAAGTATGTAATTACATACTACAGAGTTTAATAAAGAGATAAATTAATTTCAAGTACCTTTCGGCTTTTACCTTTACTGGATTTTAAGTTATCATTAAACATTGATTGCAGTATGTGAGTTTAGTCTGCTTGTGAGCAGAAAGCGAGCTCATTCCCTATTACAAAGAATTTATAAACTGTTGACACAGAAAAGGTAAGAAATAAAACTGCAGGAGGGGCAGCAT